GTCTGCCGCACCATGCTTTACTCGCTGTAGCCGCTGTGGGTTGGGGGAAACCACATAAGGATCAATAGATGACGTGAAGAGGAGACATGAAATTCACAGAGCGATTAGGTTCTGTCGGTGTCTCCCGGATTCCTAGTTGATAGACTGCAACTGGAGGCTGGGAGACACTGAAAGCTACCTCAATTAAACGATAGCAGTGGGGTTCTTGTGGTCATTTCTTATCAGGTCAGAAAGCTTGAAAATGTATGTATGCGCAGTTTATACTCTCTCTGTTGACTTTAGAGACTTAATTTCCTTGCCTCCCTCCCATTGGGCCCCCTCCCTATCTATTATGTACTTTCTCACTTACTTTGTTTACGTTGTGAGCTTTGCAGCGATCATCGGAGTTCACTTCTCTGCATCTCGCTGTACGATGATGATGATGATGTATCAACTGGCAGTAGTTGCCAAATTGAAGTAGTTGGTAGGTCGACTGTCTGTGAACCATTTGGACCCGGGAATTTTCTACCCCGTTACTCGTGACACCGTTGTCGCTGTCGGATTCCTTAATAAGCTAACACCTATTTTCCTTGTACCCGTACTTCTAATTGGACAGAAAAGATTGTGACAGTTACCACATAGTCGAGGTGGTCTCCGATTATTTATATCTTACTACTCAATACTTCTTGTGGTCATTCCATGGGCTCTTGGTGAGCTGGTGTTTGCTAGATTTGCGCACTCCTAATAACCTAGTATCAGACGGGACTGTGACCGACTAATTGCTTCTCGTGAATTCTTTGCTATCGTTAAACCTTGTGCTGACATACCGCCTAGAAGGAATTCCAAGACAAAATCTATGTGGGCGAAAATTATGTTTTTGCACAATTAGTGATTTTCTAGATGTCGGCGTCTTCTCGTTATCAGTCTTTACATCAATTTGCAGCAGATGCAAATCCATCTAACCGATCGGTAGTTTTGAGGGTCAAATATGGCGGAACATTTGTACAATATCATTCTATATTTCATTTTTGTCATGTCATTTTTTTCTTTTTTATAAACATTATTGTACCATGATTTGCCTGGCACACAGTCTGTCCTCAGACAAGTGCGAAATATAATATTTTCAATACACTGTCATTATCACGCTTTTCATCACTTCATAGTAGCCTGTTACGCTGCGATTTATTGAACAACTCATTTCAGTTCGTACGTGATAGGAAATGGCCGGGGTCTATCGAGAATCCAAAGTTCCTTCGGTGGTATGCACAGGTTCGACAACCACTACTGTATAGAGCGGTCGAATAATTGTCTCACTAAAAAGGAAGAGGAAAGAACAACTCATCTCGCCTGCACGGCAACAGAAGTTAAGATACATAAGCATTGTTTTTTTCTAAGGGTACAGCATGGTTAATGCTCACTTCCAGAGACAATATAGTTCGACATAGATCCGCATCGAAGGTTTGAGCGGTTTACGGCTGCGAGGTTCTGAGATCACGGACGATAATTTTCTTCTCTTTCTTACAGTGAACGCCGTCTGGTCTTGAGAACTGATGTGTTTGTAGACGGTCCAGTTGGGAATGCCCGTACCTAAGGCTAAGTCAAGTTAGACCGTAGGAATAGCAGCCCAGTTGTCGGTCTCCAATATTCCCTATACGCCTCAACAACTTTTAATTTTTAAATCCTTCGTATGGGAATTCCATTCATTAGGATTCAGGAAGCTTCAGTAGGGGCATAAAAGCGTAATACCTGAAAAAGATCGATGGGAACACGATATATATATATATATATATATATATATATATATATATATATATATATATATANACAAATCGCAGTGAAATAATCTTAATAACAAAGAATAACAGCTCCATGATCTACTTGTGGGCGCAATAATTCCAGGTTGGCCAGGTTAGGTTGGGCGAATTTTCTTAGTGAATTCACAACCGAAGAGTTCGGCTAATCCAAGCCTAACCAGAAAGACAGCTTTACGGTTCGTGAAAACCGCATTCCATTAGGGATCGGTGTCCAGTTAATCAGATCGTACGCTCTTCGAACGTAGTCCAGAGTCCAATATACCCCAAATACCTCAATGCCCAATCGAGCTAGTGACCACTACCACGACCACAAAAATGTGTAGTTCGTGTACTCCTTCTTGGTTTGTTTAGAATCGTGGTTTTTAACTAACTCCCCTATGTGAACTGCCAGGGGTTCACCAACCGGTTTATAGCCCCGAATGTTGGCTTTTTGCCCTCTCATTGTTTAATCTGTTTTTGATCGTTCCAGTGCTGTGTACCTCTCGATCAACGTTAGCTCAAAAGGTGGTGTCGTCTCACTCGACATTGGCAGCCTTAAATCATTATTTTCACAATACAAAGCCTCTGTTCTTCCTGCGAATCAGATCAGAACCTTAGCCCAAGTGAGCAGTTCCCGCGTATATATATTGACTGTTGCTAATTTACGCCACCCTACCTTTCAAATTTATGTAACTTCGTTTGAACTTTTGTCTAATTAGAAGCACCATCTGTTGTCAGACATCACTGCCGCTTTGAAAACTCGTGGCGTTCCCACACCCATCGATTTGTTTTGTAATATTATCGCATCAGTAAGACCCTGCGGGTAAGATTCGAAATTTTAACCTCAACAACGCTATTCATCTTTAGTGGTATACAGCTGCACCGCCATCTGGATCGATGCCACATATGTGATTTGTTACCGCAGTTCCAAGGCTAGGTGGATGGTTGTGGTTGATTTCAGCAGATGTTCGTAACTATGAGGCGGACGCTTTTTCACTACACACAATGCTATTGTGTTTTATAAGGTCTTTTCTCATTGCAGTTCTGTCTAATTCATCTTTTTTAGCTGTTTGATGGCCGACAGCAAAGTGAAGAATGATCGAAAATCAGCAAAAGGAAGAGTCAAAACCAATGAAAATTCTTCACAGGGGAATATGATTCATGGAATCGGTATTCGGTTACTTGTGTTTGGCATTGCTATCTCCTGTGGATTTCTGCATTGGATGCACGTTGCCTACCTGCATGAAAATGATCTGATGTTCTCGCATTTATCAAGCACTGAAAGGGAGTTAACTTTTCGCACGGAGATGGGATTTTACTACTCATACTTCAAGCAGGTGAGTTGCTCTTTTTATTTGTCTTGGTTGTCATTTTTCCTTTACCCATCTTTTGGTAAGTCATCTTC